CTCAGAGCTGAGCAAACACGGCTACAGAACCCTCAGGGATGCGGCCGCCAGATACGCCAGTGCACCAGGACAACAGCAGCTCTTTCTGAGCAAAGAGAAAGAAGTAGAGACAGGAGACTGGGCTGGGGACAGTGACAGGCTCCCCAGTGACAGGCTGGGGACAGTGACAGTGAAAGGGCAGCTGACTCAGCGAGCCAGCCCATGTACTCTATACCCATATGGAAAGCACACATAATCTCCCAACCTGCATGGTGGGTGCCTATAAGAATAATAAATATTATGGACTATGCACTAAAGCAGATTTAGCAAAGTCCTAGGAACAGAATAAACTTAAGGCAGGGAAAGGATTACCTGTTTACTCATCTGTACTGGCTTGAATAAAGTCCCTCAAAAAATCATGTCTACCAGAACTGATGCTTCTGAACTGTGATGCTGGAGAAGACTCTTGAGAGTCCGTTGGACAGCAAGCAGATCAAACTAGTCAGTCCTAAAGGAAATCAGCCCTGAATATTCATTGGAAGTACTGATGCTGAAGCTGAAGCTCCAATATTTTGGCCGCCTGATGTGACAATCTGACTCATTGAAAAAGACCCCGATGCTGGGAAAGATTGAGGGCAGGAGGAGAAGGGGGCCACAGAGGATGAGATGGTTGGATGGCATCACCAACTCAGTGGATATGAGTTTGGGCAAACTCTGAGAGATGGTGAAGGACAGAGAAGGCTGGCGTGCTGCAGTCCATGGGGTGTCAAAGAGTCAGACACGACTAAGTGACTAAAAACCAACAAAATGAAGGGTTATTGGGACATAACCCCACTATAAGTGAAAACAGATCAATACTGTTATTCTTATGGAAAACCGTACATACGGGTACATATGGAGAGGGAAATGGCAACCCACTCCAGTGTTCTTGCTTGGAGAACCCTATGGATGGAGGAGCCTGGAGTGCCTCAGTCCATGGGGTTGCAAAGAGTCAGACATGACTTAGCAACTGAACAATGGGTACATAAGAGTGAGAAGAGCTTCCCTCTATTATATCAGAATTTCTGCTCTAAAACCAGGAAAACCATCAGCCATAAATCTCACTGTGAAAGGAAAACGATGCATTAGCAAAAATCATCAGTGATGGGAGACTTACTAAGGATTTTGTGACTAATACACACACTTGACTGATTTATAATAAGTACTATGCATCATTTATTCTATAATTATATAAATTATGCCAATTATAAACAGCCATCTACCGTTCAACAAATGCTCTGGCTGTGACACAACAGAAGGGATTCAGCCATACAAAACAAGAGGAAAAGAAGCAAAGGGAAGAGCTGGACAGAAAAACCTTCATCCTCCAAGAGTCTCATTAAATTATCACTCAAGCTAAGAGCTCTGGAACCAAGAGGACACTCCTCAGTGAATGAGATGTTCTGTCTACACTGTCTATAACCACTGGTCACATGTGATTACTGAGCACTTGAAATGTGGCCAGTAAGACTGAAAAACTAAATTTTTAATTTTATTTTGATTCATTTAAATGACCATAATAATTAAATAACCACATGTGGCCAGCAGCTATTCTATTGGAGGGCACTGCTCTAGAATCACAGAAGGCTGGCTGTGGAGACAAACCTGAGAGCCTCAGAAATCTGCGATGTGACCAGACCCACAAGTAAAAACAGGGGAAGGAGCCTTCACAGAAGGTACAGCTGTATGCAGAGTATTTCTAGGACATATGTGGGCTCCCCTGGTGGCTCAGATGGTGGAGTCTGCCTGCAATGCAGGAGACACAGGTTTGATCCCTGGGTCGGGAAGATCCCCTGAAGAAGGAAACGGCAGCCTACTCCAGAGTTCTTGCTTGGGAAATCCCATGGACAAAGAAGCCTGGTGGGTTGGCTACAGGACATATTTATTTCCTTAATCTTCACATGCTCTTGTAGATAGTCAGTGATCATCCCCATCAGCTGGATGAGGAAATCAGTGTTCAGCAAGATTCTCTGACTTGCCCAAGACCTTGCAGCTTTTAAAGGCTAGGGCCAGAGATCTGAATATGGCTTTGACACTAAAATCCATACTCGAGTCATCAAGGCACTCCATTTACAGCACCTTTCACTCTTGTGATGTCTTCCACTTCCACCCTCTCTGAAGAGTCTAAAACACAAAAGTGGGTATGCATGGATGAGTGCATATATGCGTGTCTGAGTAGATTTTGCAGAACAGGTACAGGTCTGAGAATTACTTGAGTGTTTAGTGTGGATCTAGTATTCCGTACAAATCAGTATCCTCCAGGCAACCAGACCCATTTTCCACTTAATCAGGAAGAACAGGAGGCAAGAATGAGTACCTGTTGACTAACTTATTAAGACCAAATTGGCAGATTAAATAAACCTTCTTCCTGGGACACATTTAGCACTATTTCTATCACCCAGCTTTCCTGGTCCTCAGGGAGCCCCCCATTTCCCTGGCCACAGTGACACTTAGAAACCCAGGGACTACAGGTCTTCACAGCAGGGGAGGCTGGAGGTAAGGGAGTAAGGAAAACCGAGCGACGGGCCTCCTAAGAAATGGTACGTAGGTTTGAAAATAACTGGTTTCAAATCAAGAGTGACAATGCTAAATCTGGGCTGCTCAGCTTCCCCCCCCAATCTCCTGTTTGTCTCCAGCAGTGGAAAAGGGCAAGTGTGGGTCATTAGATCCCACAAGTGTGGAAATCAGGTGAAGCTATGGTGGGAAAAGTGGCCCTCCCAAGACAAAACCACAGGTGGTTTGTGGTGGAGGCGTGGAGGCCTGCTGTGCTATTAATAAGATTCCTGCAGTGTTATGAAGAAGGTTTCTAATGGAACTAATTGTGCATCCCTTAAAAAAGTTTCATTATGCCTGGAAATATACTTGATGAGATTAATAAAGCAATTCTTATTTGTCTAACCCCTAGAAGTTTAACTGAGCCTTTCATCCCTCTCCTGTGCTCCGATCCTGCAAGGAACCCTTTGGGAAGAGCCCCTTCCCCCTAAATAAAGCTTTACAGCATTTTGAGGTTGTGAGACTTATGTGATTCCACACCCAAATGACTCTGAAAACAGTTCATCCTGGTGCAGCTCTCGGTGTGTCCTGGGGAGAATTCTATGGAAAACTAGCTTAGCCCAGTAATCACATTTGCCTACCCAGACAGATAGTCTAACCTCTCAAGCTCCAGGAACCTGGCTGTGGGGACTGATTTCTAGTCTAACTTTACACAACAAAACTATTAACACCAAATAGTACAACCTAGCTGGTGATTGTTCTGTTGTGACAAAAACTGATTCTATAGCTTTTTAAAAACCCATTGTTTCCTCTCATTTTCTCTGGGCTAGTCCCAAAAGTGGGGCTTCCCTCATAGCTCTGTTGGTAAATCATTTGCCTGCAATGCAGGAGACCTGGGTTTGATTTCTGAGTGGGGAAGATCCCCTGGAGAAGGAAATGGCAACCACTCCAGTATTCTTGCCTGGAGAACTTCATGGACAGTGGAGCCTGGCGGGCTACAGTCCATAGGGTTACATGGGGTCGCAAGAGTCAGACATGACTTAGTGACTAAACCACAATCATTCCCCAAAGTAATGTGTTGCAACATCTTTAATTTCTAACACCTTCAGCTAAAATGTATGTGTCTTTGGGAAATGACCGCCACTAAGTCCTGACTTAACTCCCTTTCTGGTGGCAGTCGGCATTCCTTTGCAGAGTTTTGCTTCCATCAGTGAATTACTTTACCACGGAGGGGTCGGGGGAGACTACAAACTACAAATGCGCACAGAGAAGTTGTCTGGTCTTATTCAAGAGTGAGTTTGTCTCTGTAGTACATTGTTCTCAGAAGTTTCCCGCGGGAGGAAAGCTCCACTTTGAATTGACAGGACAGCTTCCCTGGGAATGCCGCCGGGCGGCTTCCCCAATGAGCTCCTACCTCTGAGCGCGCAGGACTCGGTCCTGGAATACCGAGTTGTGCAAAAAGCGCCTACATCGCCATCCACCGGCTGGGAGAGGCTGGCGTCCGGAGTGCACAGTTCGCCGCAAGAGCTGGGAACAAGTCCTGGCAGGATCCGACCCAACACACCTAACCCGCGCAGCCCTCCATCCCCGCCCAGAGGACAGTCACTGGTACGCGGCTCCGCGCTGCCGGGACCCCGCAGGAGCGAGTGGACTCCGGGACCCTCCTGACTTCGAACAAGAAGAGCGGCGCGAAAGAGACCCAGTTCCTGGGGGATCAGGCCAGTGAGGACCTGCCATGTTCCTCTTCCCTATCTTTCTTCTCCCAAATCAGGGGCAACGCCGTCCCTTTCCAGGACAGGAGCAGAGCCCGCCGAACCCGGAGAAGCTCGAAGCTGTGTCCCCCAGCGGCCCCGCGCTCCTTGCGCCCAGGCCGGTACTCGCCGCCAAGTTTGCGCACAGGGGACGCAGGAGTTGCCAGCACCCTGCTAGTGGGACCAGTCCTAAGATGCCCACGCTCAGATGGCCCAATGATCGCCGGCACCACTGGTGGCAGGGGAACTGAGCGTGAATCCGGGAGCTCGGAGGGACGGAGACTCAGGCGCGCGCAGTTGAGAGAAGAGGACAGGCGATGCCGCGCGCTCCTTCCAGCTGCGCAGAAAAGAAGCCTTGGCCCCCCAGGAGGCTGTTTCCAACGGCTCCTTCAGCAGCCTCCTCAGGAGCCCGGACGCCGCCGAGTCCACTTGATGCGTGGAGGACTCCGTGTTGAAGAGGGGCAGTGGGGGTGGGGTGGGGGTGCGTACCCGGGACGTGACGACGCCCCTGGCAAGGAGAGCGTGGTCTCCGCACCGACCTGGCTCGAGGGCTAAAGGAAACCCTATCCAGGACCCTGCGCCCAAGGACTGATTATAGCGTGGGGCTGGGACAGCTGAAGCTCACCGACGGTGGGGGAAGGTGGCACCCAAGGGGAGGAGGGGGCGGGACAGGAAGGATTGACCCTGGATCCATCCGGACTGAGAGGTCATCCGACCTGTCTGGAGGCAGGATCTTACCCGCTCAGGGGCCAGGGCTGGGCGGTAGCGCTCTTCCGGAGCCAGGGCAGGGGACTGTTTCGTGGAGAGCATGTCTCGCTTTTCCCTCCGTCCACTCTTGGTCGATTTTCTCTCCTCGGCGTGCCCCCGGGAGAGGCACTACGAATGCCTTGCTCCTCGCTCAGGAAGAGACAAGTTGCACTTGAAGGGACAGGGGCCCCACATTTTGTCTGCTCGTCAACCCTACCCGCGGACCACTCCCTCTCTTCCCTCGCGTCCCTAGGCCCCACCCATAAAAACCCTTGATGACAGATCCTCCGCAACCCCACCTCTTCTAGGCTGTTATTCAAATAAGTTATTCTTCAGGGGCTGGGGGGGTGGGAAGCCAAGTGGACTGCTGGTCCCCCACCCAAACCCTCCCCCACACTAACGACCCGTGACGGCAGCAAGGAGGAGAGGGCGAGACCTGAGCCTCTGGGCTGGGGGAGACAGTAACTGAAAGCAAAGGACTTGCTTCTCATCTCTCCCAGATCTCTTCACATCCTAGACCACTCTCTTGGCCGGAGCATAGCCAAGTAAAAATCAAAATAAGTGCAGCCACTGGCAATTAAGGGCCAAGTTTGTTATCTCAACAAAAACGTACGTTTTCTAGGGTAAGCATTGTTTGCTTTAGGCAAATGGAATCGAGATTCTATGTTTAGGGAAGAAACTGCTTTTGCAAGACTGCCTGAGACTTTGCTAAGGCTGCAGCGACCCGGGAGTAAAGCAGAGTCAGCTTCCAAACACCTGGTGGCAATTTCATGCCCAGGGCTTCCACAGGCTGAACCCTGGAGGCCAGCAACCCTGTGTCTTTCTGCCACTCAGCAGCAGCCGCTCCCCCTCAGGCAGCTTCCAGGAGAGCACCGCAGGTATTTACAATGATAAAGACAACCACCTGAAGCCCAAGAGAGTCGTCCTAGGTTTGGCAGAAAAGCACTACATTGAGTTTTTCTGAGAAGTTTTTTTTTTTTTTTTTTAATTCAACCTCGGTCAAGATCTAATGAAAATTTCACAAATCACTCATGAGGTTATTCAATAAATGCGTCTCTGATATTCTGGAGGCAGCTATGAACAGTCAATAAAAGTAAGTACCAGGCACCTGTTCCCTCAATATTACAGCTGGAGAGGGGGATAACTTGTAAAATTGGGGGTGGGGGAATCAGTATTTTGCTTCCAAAGTGAAATGAGAAAGTAGAAAATGTCATAAGTGCATCATACAATAGTTGAAATAGGGAGAGAATCAAAGTAACTAGCCTAATTTTAAGTTTACACAGTTAGCAAGTACAGAGCTGGAATTCTGCAAAGGTGGTGTAATTTCAGGCCTATGTTCTAAAATATTGTCTCATCACACGTCATCATTACCACAGGAACACCAGCCTGAAATCAAGAGCCTAAACAATTTGTCCATGAGCAAACCCCCTCGTCTTTCATTGCCAGTCATCTCCGTCTATAAAATGAGGGCTGGATTCAATCTTCAATGTTTCTACAGGCATTCTGAAGCCAAGGAAGGATTGTTTATTCACCCCTTTTCGCTTCCACTTTCTGCCCTCTGGTGGAGGTGCTACAGAAACTGTGACATTCAAGTAGCTACATCAGGGAATCTGAACTAGCCACTACTATATAGGACCATCTTTCAGAGAACTAAAGCTGACTGCACTGATAGTGTAAAACAGCATTTTCTAAGTTTCCTTTTAGCAAGAAACCCCAACCAATTCTAGGTACCAGTGGCTTCAGAGTAAATATCTGAGGTATTCTTTGCATGAAGGCAAACAGCTATTTTTATATGCTTTGTAACAAACTTCTTTGATATAAGGAATCACAACAAATGTTAGAAACCTCATAACATAGGTTATGTTATGAACCAACATGAACCAACTTGACTTTGCAGAGAGCTTACAATAATATTCAATGACCTATGAATTATTCCTTTTTAAAAATTTGCCATGTTTGCTTTTCAACTTGAGTGAAAACCATCACCTAGTTTCTTATAATACTTTTCGTTTTACATAAAGAAATATTTACGGCCTTTTGAAATTTTTATTGTCTAATATTCCAAACATATATCTATTTGGATGGCTTAAAGAAAAGAAATCTTAATGGGATTTATAGGTAAATTAACTTAAAAGTAGTGAGTATACCTCTGGAAAGGGTGACTTTACAGATCAAACGTGGGTCACATTGCATGTTACAGACCAATTTCAGTGCTTAGTACTACAAATGAAGGCCATTTGAGAATAGGAAAGAGACATCTCAGAGAAGCAGCCAGTACTCCAGGATGAAAACAGAAAAGCAGCAGCTAAAACAGGTATGTTGTCCCAAGACTTACCAATTTACCTATTCATTCAACTAACACTCATTTAAGATTTGTTAGCTGCCAGATGAACAAAATAGAGTTCCTGTCCTCAGAGAACTTTCTGAAATAATAAATACATTAAACGAACATACACAAATGTAAGTAAACTATGGAAAAATACTTCCAAGTAAGCTAAGAATCTATTTTAGGGAGTTTAAGCTGAGATCTAAAGATACAAAGCCTTTAAAATTAAAAAAAAAAAAAAAATGAAGAACACAGCAAGAAACAGGCAAATTGGACATTTACCTATTGCAGGGAGAGTTTACTTAAGAGGGAAAAACAACATATCCATATCTGAATATATTCCAGAACGATGAAACGTTCTATATATGATAAAAGTAACCCATGTAGACATTGTTTGCTGTATATACTATTTCTGGGGTATTAATCCCTTACTCTATAGAGTAGTCCCTGGGAAGAAGGTAGTAAGAACTGGCCCATAAAAAGTTTCAAGGGACTTTTGTTTCTAGCACCCTCACACACCTCGCACTAGTCTCCCCCACCCCCAGGGCTGCCGTTTGACTGCCCACATCCTGTCTAGTTTTCCTAAGAATGCTCCTTCATTCTCACTCAGCTGTGTCTCTGCAACCCAATGGACTGTCATCTTCCAGGCAAGAATACTGGAGGTGACATTTCCTTCTCCAGGGGGATCTTCCTGACCCAGGAATCGAACCTGAATTCCTGCACAGCAGGCGGATTCTTTACTGCTGAGCCCCTGGGGAAACCCCTTCCCGAGGATACCCCCTCAATGACAATCACTACATGAGCAAAAACTGAGATGTCCCAGTTTACAATTCGTTTTTCTGATTTGTGAATCAATCTGTAAGAGAACTCACGACATTAAGTCACATTTCTCTATTATCATAGCTAAGAATTTCTAAGCACTGTATGCCAGACACTTCACAAAGTGATATGTGTAGTTTTTCAGTTTTGAATTCTTGAAGCAAACCTATTTTCTCTGTTGTAAAATGAGAATGGCCCCATGCATAAATGGTCACGGGGGCTGAACAAACCTAAGAAGTGCTTTAGAGCAGTTGCAGACATAGCTAATGGGAACCTGCCCTGCCGTAGAGCACAGCAGACAGCCTGGTGCTCTGTGGTGACCTGGATGGGCGGGATGGAGCGGGACGGGGGAGAGAGGTCTGAGAAGAGGATGTAGGTACACACGTGGCCGATCCATTTAACTGTACAGCAGAGACCAATGCAACACTGTAAAGCAATGATACTCCAATAAAAAAAGTTAAAATAGTGTAGACACAGAATAGCTAACACTTATTGGACACTACTATTTCTCCTTGTTTGTGTTTTACAGATGAGGAGTAAATGAAGTCTAAGAGAAGTTAAGTAATTGCCCAAGACCTCACAACTAGAAAAGGATAGAACCAGAATTGGAGCCCAAGCAATCTGAAACTAGGCTGACCTCTTAACCCCTACCTCCTGCAGTACAATTATTAAGACAGTAATGAAAAATGCCCCAAAAGTTTAAAGCCCAGAATTACACTGTGAATTCACTCATTCATCCATCAAATGTCTACTGAGCACTGCAGTGAGTTGAATAGTGTCCCCCACCCCCAACTCCCCACAAAATTAATGTCCACCTGGAACTAAATATATAACTTTCCTTATTTGGAAATAGGGTCTTTGCCAGTGTAATTGGGTAAAATGAGACTGTAGTGTGGGCCCTAACTACAGAGAGTGTTCTAAAGAGTCAGAAAAGGACACACCCAGACAAGAAGGCCACGTGGAAATGGGGGCGACACACTGATGTATCTACAAACGAGGAAAACACCGAGGACTGACGCCCCAAGCCAGAAGCTAAGAGAGAGACGTGGAAGGCTTTCTTTCTCTGAGTCTCAGGATGGAGCCAACCCTGCTGACATTTTGATTTTGGACATCTGACCTCCTAAACTGTGAGAGAATAAATTTCTGTTGCTTCAAGCCACTCTATTTGTGATAATTTGTCATGGCAGCCCTAGAAAGCTAAAATCAGCATCTACTATGTGGCTAGGCACGGTTTCCCTCTCTAGAGTTACAGCAGTAAGCAACACCGCACACCCGCCCTTGTGGAGTTTTCCTGCTCGTGAAGAAGACAGATAATAAACAAATACAGAATGCAAGATAGGTACTGTGCAGTGTTACGAGGAAAAAACACTGTGTGAAGATATACAACAGGCAGATGAAGGTAGTTAGGGATGTCTAGGAAATTTCTCCCTATAAATGTTTTAACTTAGATGAATCTAGGCTGTGGAATTTAAGGCTATATTGGATCATTCTTCATAGTACCACTGAAATACATGCCTTTGCATTAATTGGAAAGAAAACTTAGCTAGAACAGCAGCTTGGCAAGCAGCAGACCTAAACATGCTCAACAGACCAAGATTCTGAAGCACAGGAAAAGGACAGGCACCCTTAAGAGAAAGCAGAGGGCTTTCCGGCTTCTCCCAACCCTCCCAACTTCACACCTCTTCTCAGAGGTGGTGACCAGCATTCTGCCCTTCCCGCCTCCAACCTCACAGGGGGACCCCCAGGTCCAAGGCTTCGGGAGATCTAGATCACTGTCACTCAACAGAGGCACCTTCCACAGACCAAAGAGACACAGACGCTTTTACATAAACTCCAGCTCCAGAGCTCAGACTTCTGTTTCACTTCCTAGCACCCAGGTATGGGCAAACCTAACAGCTGGAGGAGTCCTTGGGTCATCAGAAATAACGTGAAGAATCAAAAATTCCCATAGGGCATCTTTAAACACTAACACAGATACTTACCTCTGTTTAGAAAGGTTAACATTCATAGCCATGAAGTTCAAGCATCCAACTTCTTAGCAAAAAGCAAATATTTTCGATGTTTTGCTTCAGTAAAGTTCATTTGGCAATTTAGCAAAGATTTCACCAACTTATTTGAGATTGAAAGTGAAAGTGAAGTTGCTCAGTCATATCTGGCTCTTTGCGACCTCATTGACAGTAGCCTGCCAGGCTTCTTCCTCTGTCCATGGGATTCTCCAGGCAAGAGTACAGGAG